GTCATCGTAGATCTTCTCCGTCTTTGTGGTTCGATCGAAGTCAACTGAAAGGAGGTTTCTGCCATTAACCTTTGAAAACAAACAAATGACACAATAAATCATGCGATTTAAACAGTAGCCACCTATTATTTCCACCAAGTGCCAGCGATTCTTTAAATATCATTTACAGTGATTCATTGGCTGTGTGTGTAAATTAATTTAGGAACTTCTTGATATAAATGTGAGGTACTACATTAGCAGCTACTTTAAAAGGTTTCATTACGTGAAGAGATGGCCCAGAATTTGTCGCAATTTGTGTCCTTTCTTGATGCTTAGCCTACTGTTGAGAAAATACTAAAAGATACGTGCTGAAAACCTTTGTAATAAATGGTGCTATTTCAGAGGACAAGCTACTTCATTTGCAGGCAGTATAAAATACATATATGTATATAGCAAATTATTGTTAAAGCATATTCCCAGCAGACACCCAATTCAAAACAAACACCCTAAGGAAGAACCACATCCCAATCCTCCACAGCAAGTGTTTTTTAAAGCAGTAAACACGAAGTTAAGATTTTCAAAAGCATGTTTAATCCTCCAATTCAGATTAAACAGTTTCCAGAGGAAAGCTTTCCCCTTCTGGATCAGATGAAAATTTAATTCTGGATTAGATCCATAGCAGTAATGTATCTTAGATGCTGAAATCTTTAGTGGTGATTATGTCTTTCTCCTAGCTCCCTGACCAATTAAAGCAATTAGCAACTGGAAGGCTACTGACCTCCTGAAAACAGTTAAAACTGCTTCTGAAACTGCCTGTCTGGTTTACTGTTTCCATACTGGTATCTAGCAATTCTCTATTCCTCCCATACTCAACTGTTTAATACAGAACCCTCTCTATATTCTCTGCTCAACTGCAAAAGTCTCCTGCTGCTGCTGTGTCCAGTTATTCCAGGTAGGGGTGAAACACGGATAACTGAGGTTTTTTCAATGCTGTAGCTTGCTGACATATGGGAAGCTGAGGACAAACGGACACGTAGCTGTGTTTATTACGGATTTAAAACAAAATCCTTTTCTAAGTACTTACAAGCAACAGAAGAGATGCACACATTACAAAGAGGTGGAGAGAGATGGTCAAATAGCAGTTAGAGAAAAAAAAGATACGCTGATCAGAAAAATGACAGAAGGATTTTAACATTTTTCGGGGCTGCATGTTCAAAATCTGTGTACCATGGACTTTAGTGCTTTTTCCCTGAGGACAATGAGATTCTAAAAGATCAATACAAATTAGATTCTACATTATTGGCATAAAGGGTACTAAAGTGCTAGTGATGGGTCAGAGGGAAATCTGAAAAAAACACCCTCCAGATGCTCCTTTGTGTTTAAATGTCTGTATGTGTGTACACACAAACACATGTATCAAATATACAGCATGTTTTTTAGCAATCTATATTTTAATATATTAATGATCTCTTTTTTCTTGACTTGCTCTTTTTTTAAAAAAAAATGCAATCACTAGTATGACAACAAGCTGTATTATCCATTTCAGAACAAAAATCATGCTTTCATGAAAATATTTAAGTGAGGAACACAGTCTAGCAGATGCAGAATAGTTATTTTGCATATTCAGTGTGCCATCAAATGTTTTTTAAATATACTTTGAAAATTTAATGCTACAAGGCTGATTCTAATAGTAGTTTAAACTTAAACATAAAGCATTCCCATTCTCTTCCCTTTTTTCTGCTTTGAGGACTTTTTACATTTCCATTTTTTTTAAACTTTTACAACATTTACAATTAAATTATTTGCCTAAATTCCCTCTTCTGTATTCAGTCATCTTTATCTCAGGCTTCCCTTTCTCAGCCTCTCCTACGCATGCCTGAACTCATCTCTGTCTCTCCCTGTCTTGTTTCTCTGAACTCTCTCCTCCCTTTCTCTCTCCCCTCTCTTATCTTACATCTAATTATGCTTTTTATTAATTTTCCTGCCTGCCTCGCAGGTTCAGAACGTGATTTTCTGAATCAGGGCAAGGAGAGAAGGGTGGCTTCACGGTCCAGGCAGATGTCCACGCACATGTGGTTCATTCCTTGTCCGAGCTCATTCCCCCGTTGGAAACTGCTGCAAATTCCCTCCCTCCCTTGCTGCCTTATCCACTGAACAGGGTAACAACGTCCCTTGCCTTCTCCCTGCCCTGGGTAAAGAGGAGGGGAATGCAGGAAGGCAACTGCTTTCTACAGCCAGATGAATGCTCCCAAGATCTGCTGGTGGAGCTCCAGCATCAGACAGATGCCTGAGCTTTTCCTGAGATGGGCTGTGCTTACATAACCTCATAAGTGACAGTTAAAGTTACCAAAAAAAAAAAAATGTGTTGGGGATTCACTGGACACCAGTATGGGACTGGGCTGTCACATGCCAGCTACAGCGCTGCTGCCAACTGAAGTGTTCTACTTAACAACAGGGCTCCTCTGCCAAAATGCTGCTACAGCAAAACTTAACTGGGTCTTTTTACTTGGTCTGAGACAATCATGCTCCAAATATATTGGATAACTCTGGGCTTTACTATGATAAAAACAGTAATTCAGGAAACTTTCAGTGAATAAACACTTTACAAGACAAGCCCGTGACAGTCCCTAAATACCATCTTGCTACATTTTGGTAATTAATGTGTCCATCTGCCTTGCTCTGCTTAACTCCGTTTTTTCCTCACAGCAGCTCGCTGAGCAGCATGAAGCCACGCTGTGGCAGTGCTGCAGGAATCCCAGCCCCACACTGCTGTGCCCTAACAAGGTTCTTCACAGACACACTTAGGAGTGGATAGAACTAATATACGATAAAAATCCAATAAATCACCATGGATTGTATTTTGTGGTGTCACATGCAATGCATATAAGGCAGTAACTGTGTGTCTCATATGCGTACCTTTACAGGCAATATATTTTGTCACTGATTTTGTCTAAGTTTGTCATCTTTGCAGCAAAATGATATTGACATGTCTGTTGGTGGAACGATGAGCAAGAATCATTTATTCTTGTTCTTTCAGTTGTGTTCTCACTACTTTCCTCCATCAGCAACATTTTTGTAATGTGTTCCCACATAACCCAGTTCCAAGAAAACCCTTCCACTTTTTCCAAGTTTCTTTTCTTTTTGAAGCACTTTTTTCTTACTAGCCAGTATTCTCCTCCTGCCCTACTTCTCCCATATATATATATATACACTTTTAATTACCACTATTTTATCTTAATCTATAATCTTTCACGTTTTCCCTCTTGTTAAATTTCTCTGCTGTTTCTTCTTTCTGCTTAACTATTTCAAGTTTGAGTTGTGCATGATGCTTCTCCTACCTCCTCTGTACTTGAATGTCAAAATTTTGCCTCAGTTATAAGAACTTGACTCACAGAGATTTGTTTTGCTGCCAAAACCAACATATCATTGGTATGGTTATTTTGTTTTTTCTTGAGCTTCCTTCACGTACGAACTGGCAGATATATTATCCCACTTTGCTAAGTGATGAAATGGCTACGAACTAGAACCACAAAGACAAACATGTAAGCATGGCCTCTCTAATTCTTGACCTTATCCACGTGTATTCAGTGTTGCCAAAGCCACATAAAAGTTTGCTGTTCTTAGGCAGCAGCCATTGCACATCATGATTCTTCCTTCTTGGGGAAAAAAAAATAGTTCTTGCAGAACAAGTGATAGAGAGTTATATAAGATGCACAACAGCCTTTCCTCCCTTCTTGTCCCAGAGAAAGAGTAAAAATGGGACATTACCTCTTAGGAGTCGAGAGGAGCCATGCGATATTACTTACCTTTATGTGATTTACCACCTAGACCTTATTTTAAAGAACTGGGTTCAGTTCTAATAGCAAGTCAGACCCCTGCTGCGGTCTTGAAATGGTCTCCTGGCAACCCAATTCTAAATGCTTAATCTCTGTTGTCTTTACCAAATGGCTGTCATAAATCATAGTTTGCTTGCTACTTGCGTTTTGCCCACTATATAGGAATAAGAAATGCCAACAAAATGGTAAAGACATATGTTAGAGGAATATGCAGTAAGCATATACACACGCACACAAAGTTCAACCCTTTCTACTAGAAATAAGTATTGCTACAACTTTTATTCAAAATAAAAAGAAAACCCTTGGATTGTGCTAATTTATGGTAGAATAATTTAAAAAAGGTTCTAAACGCTACCTTCAAACGCATGAATTCAGTATTCCAAAAAAAAAGTGACGGAAAGCAGAAAAACAGTCTCTTTATACTGATTCATTACAATGCATTCCAGGCTAAAAACAACAGTTTAGAGTGCACAGAAAAGAGCAATAAATAAGGTAAAGCAGCCAATAACTGAAATAATAGAGGCAATGCTTCCAGTCCTACAGTAAGCTGGTCTACGGTAAACCCCGTGCGGTGGCTGAATGGCAATAGCTACAGTAACGCGGTCCCACGTCCTCCCCGCTGCCGGGAATACCGCGGCTCTCCCCGCGGCTCTTGCGCGTACCCTGAGCTTGCGGCCGAACACGTTGACCTTCCCCTGGGCCTGCTCCTTGCGGAACCTCCACTCCACCACGTTCTGCCCGTTCTCGCCGGGCAGGGTCATGTTGCGCTTGGCTACCGTGGGGTTGGCGGTGCCCGCCAGCACGTGCGGCTCCGTCTGGTAGTGGGAATCCAGGCCGCTGGCGTACAGGATCCGGAGGGAGCCGTCATAGCCCATCTGGTAGCTATTTCTCAACTGATCTGAAAATGCAAAAAAAAAAAAAAACCACAAAAAAGGAATGCACAAAATGCACATGACCTACAAAGGTTAAATTCCCTCTCTTTGCTACATTTCTTAGGCTATATATGCATGTAACATCCTGATGGATAAACACCCAGGGTGAGATTGATAAAAATATCTATATTACATGAGAGCACAAATGCCTTAGGGACCCAGTTTCAAAGTCACTTAAACACTTAAAATCCCATCCTTGGTATATAAATCTTTGGATGGACATAAAATACATTCTTTGTTGCTGCATTGGGCATTTCTGGCCTAATCCTAAACATGCTGTGACTATTGACTATTGCTAGGGCATGGTTGCTGGGGCTTAACATGCTGTTTTAAAGCTCAGTGCTCACTTCATTTCTACACCTCTTTCTCTCTCAATCCCTCTCTGTTTTTTTCAGATTCCTTTTTTGTGTGAAGCAGGTATTCTGGGTAATTCCAATAGCAACTTACAAAATCTTTTTGGGTAGAAAACATAGTTAATTGTATTTTCATTGCATCTCCTTCTTTCCCTTATTTGTCTCGTATATGCCTAAAAATATATATACGTATTTCTCCCCTCCAAACTCTATGCCTCTAAAGGCTCTCTGAGGGATCTGACTGCAGCTTGTTATATTGTAAGAAAGCAGTTCTCAGTTTTAGTATCTGCTGAGGAATCTTTTGTTTACAATACCTTGAACCATGGTATAGAAAGAATCAATTGATGATAAATTGGAAGTGATGCTGACATCTTCCTCTCTGCTGGATGATTCAATGTCCACTGTAATGGCCCTTTCCATTTCCCCATGAAGGTTAGTGACCACTCCAGTTGGGAATGTAACGTTTGTTAGGCGGCCCTCGCTATCGTAGCTATGAAAGAAAAAAAAGAAAAAAATCCAAAAATGATACATAGCAGGAACAAATTGCTTTCATTTACCAGCAAAATTAACAAAAATATCAGCTACTCATATTGTTAGGGCACGTTTGCTTTTTGTGCACAGGATAGGCACAGCAAAGACTTCAAACGTGCTTTGAAGTAGTCAAAAGACTGTTTAACATACAGGAGCCTCAATGGTGATAGCAAGAGCAAACAGATGGATCTTCAGCTCTGCATATTATTCTTTGAAGTGTGACCAAGATCCTGCTGCACATCTAATTTGCCGTTTCAAAGGGAACATATTTGTTGGTGCTAAATTCCATGGCGTTCTGTGCTCACTCCCTATTATCGGACTAGATTTTGCTGTTATTGTGGGAATCCTCAGCATTTTTCATAGGAAGGATATCTTAACAGATTGTCTCTTGGGCCCTGGCTGCTCCATGATTATGCAGACCACCTGCCCTCCTGTTCCGAGTGCTTAACACCCCCTTGTATTACAAGGAGGAAGAATCTGGGCTAGTATTTAATCCACTTAAGCTGCCTGCACCTGCAAGTCAGAACAGCTAGTATATACAGCTAGCTAGCTGCTTGTGGATCCCAGCTGGAGAACTGTGGCATAATCCACGCAGGAGTTGTTTTTTTTTACTGGCTCCACTGATATGTCTTTAAATCAAAACCTACGTATTCATTTACTACATACACATAATTTCTGTAATGCAAATAGACTTAGGACTTCTAAAGCATTTCTTTTCCCATTCCCATTACATATCCTCCAGTTGTTAATCGCCCTGATGTTATGTGTACAGTTCTGTGTGTATGAAAGGAAGATGACAAGGGAAGCTCTCCCATCCCAAGTGCATACTATCATACTGGGTCTTTCTGAGAGCCAAGTGAAGTTATCCAATGCAAGAGAGGGTCCTCACACCATATATTTCAAATGTCGGCCCAAGACCATTTGCAAATTCTAACATTAGTAACTTCAGGTCATAAAATTCTTTTAAAATTAGCTCTTCCAGTGTGATGACCTGAATGCATCAGGTTAGGCATTCAACTGGGGCACCTAGGTTAGGAATATGGTCTCCCTCTAAACTGCAGGGGAGAGACAAAGGTATTTAAAAGGGGGATTTTAAAGCCTACTTAAAGCCTACTTGCTGTCAGTTTGTCATCCCTATACCTTGACTGTGCAGTATGATGCTGAAGGAAGCCTAAGTAACTGTAATATTACCCTGCAGATCCACAGTGTGCTGGACACTTCATACTTATCAGTTGTTATCAAAATTGCTCTTTCAGAAAGAGAGAGAAAAAACAGGCATATAACTGAGGTTACAGAAGCTATTTTTTGAATTGAGAGAATTAATTCCAAATAGCTTTAACCCATGATACACTGCCTTCCTCTGAGTATTACGAGTACTACCCAGGATTGCTGTAACTGAAAAGATTAGGTTAAGAACTGTGGGTTTTTGTTTGTTGTTTTTTTCCTAGTTTGCTTACTCTGTACATTTGACAGTTTTTTGCATATAGCTATTTTCATCCTTTTAACACACTCAATTTCCTTTGTTTACACGAGACTCTCACTTAGCAACAGGAAAAAGAAAAGAATGCTTAAAAATAAGAAACGGTGCAGCAAGTTGGCAAAAAGCAAGCGAGAAAACTTATTTCTTGAAGCTAAGTACATTTGAGGATAATAGGGTTTCTTCCAGTGAGTTTCTGTCCCTGGTTCTGGCTCTTTTTCACGTGTTGGCCATGGCTAGCTAACATACTGTATTTAGACAAGAAACTGAAAGAACCATACCCTTGTGCCTGAATCCGGCTGCTATCCTGTGACGAATGAGACCTTATGTCTTATTCTTCCGTTCTGTAAGCTCATTTTCTTTTCATGCCCAACTTCCTTTTCAACTCCCGGGGAACATAAAGTCTCCAATTAGCATCTTTGTCTATGTTCCACTTCATAGCACAATGTTTGAAGACCGTGTTTGCTCAGATTATCTTGTTGGGGATTATTTACTTATACACTTTGATTCCAGTACCCAAGTGCCATTTGCGCTTCAATCGATGCTTACTACAGACACAGAAAGTGAGACTTCTCCACCAGACCTTTTTACCCTTTGAATTATGGTATTTACGAGAAATTCATTATGATATTTTTGAGTGCAGTGCTCAAGCTGGAAAACACCACGTGCTTCCCCACATCACTAGTGTTCATCCTGGCTCCTGTTTGTGGCACAGTGTGTGGTTTCACTAGAGTGGGCATCTCTGAACGCTGCTCTTCTTGCTTTATGCACAGGGTTATGAACTGGTCCCTTGCTGCCCGAGTTGATGACAGCACATCAGGAGCCTGAGATAAGCAGCTAATATTGCTAATGTTACTACACTAGGGAAGAGCTTGAAGAGCAACAAAAATTCACTACAAAAATTCACACTACATATTCATGTTCTTAAAACATGACTTTATAGCTGAAAGACTCTTGCAAGCCACGACAGCAGGGCTCAGGCTTCCGAGTGCAGGGAGAAAACGTGAATGAGATGGGGAAGTTAAGAATAGGATTTCTCATACTTTTATATCCAAGAATAAAAAGAAAGGAGGGAAACAATTTTTTTCTGCAGTTTACTACATATTACATTTTATGAAAGGTTGTAATGTGCATGCCCTTCATTTTGTTCCCAGCACATCAAATACTAAAGTTACTTCATACTGGATATCTTTCTGCCCACAACAAAAGCCTTATCAATGCTAACCATAGCAACATCACTCATACCTTTGGGCATTGCTAGGTCATTTTTCTTATTACAGCCAAATATCCTTGCACGCTGCTGCCAAGGTGAATTTACTCATTTGAGATTGTCAGTTTTAGACTGAGGGATCTCCTTTATCTGGTGTTCTAATATTGAAATTGCACCGAAAGAGACGCGCTCTCGAGCCTAGAGGGCACGCACCGGTACTGGGCGTTTCGCCACCTCTTTGATCCCCTCATCCAAACACACAGTCACTGCAGAGCCCTCTGATCTCCCACGGGCGCCGGGCTCCACGCAAAGCCTCCCAGCCGGTGCCTCCCGTCCCCAGAGCAGGCCACGCGCCAGCTTTTCCAGAACAAACTTGCTTACGGGATGTGACCCGACGTCCATCAAACCCTTTAGACCCTATCCCGTCCACGCTAACACAAAGGTCTTCACGTTTGGTCGCTAACTGCGGAAGGCAGCGGCAGGGGAAGGGCAGATGCCACCGCCCCGAGACGAATTTCCCCATTTGATCAAATTCTTTCTTTTCCTTAGGACGCTCTGCCCCTGCCCACCAGCTTCCCCCTTCTACAGAGAGAAGTGCTCAGAGCTAATGACGAGCAGCTTCCCAGATTCGTGACCTTCTGCTCCTCACCTGCGGGAAGTTGCTTTTCCACCGCTCATCATCTGTGTTTTTGGTTTCATTCCTTTCCAGACCATTTCCTATTCTGCTCTATGTAGGACACTTTTCACTGCGCAGGGGTGACTTCTTGGTAATCATGGTCACAGATGGGAATGCCCTATATCCTGTGTTTCTGACTTGCCTCTCACATGAGTTTTATCTTAGTTTGGAGTACATTTAGCTCAATCCTAAATTCAGCACAGCATTATCTAACATTTTGTATTGCTACAGCCAAAAATAGGGCCCTACAGAACTGAAATGCATAACAAGGCTAGCTGCTAAAGCCAGTTGTGGAGTTATGATTGATACTGTTTTTCCACAAACCTCTGCAGCATTTTCTCTTAAGAAAAAATATATATTTTTTCCTTTCTTTTTCCTTCTGCTGTAAACATCTCAGGTTTAACGGCAAGGCACAGTGCTCCCTGCACATTCCAGATAGCAAGACGTGTAACTGAAATTAATGTTATATATTTCTTAAAAGACTGGCTATGGATTATACCATTTGTTGGGATACAATTGGAGAAATGAGGCATTGAACATATTTCATAACAGAGCCCCGTACAATTGTGACAGCAGAAGGCAAAGTACTGCTACACACTCCCTGACCACGTATCGGGCACTTCCTCCATGCATCTCTAATTACCAGGAGTAGATAGAAATTTATGGAACGTTACCCCACTCCATTTCAAGCTATTCATTGACAGTCTTTTCCATCAAGGTGGCAGGTGAAAGCAGAAGGTTCAAGATTCCTTTTTAGAAGTGCAATGTGCTGTGTTATGACTATAATCACGGTGTTGGCACATACTGAAAATCTGTCCCAGCCTGACACTAAAACATCTCATTCAGCTTGTCAAGGCCAAAAGGTTTGCATTTACATAAAGGACCATCGGTCTTTAACACTAAAGAATGATGGCCAGTTTCCAAATACATTATTTTAATCGTATTCAGCCTCCTCTAAACCGCTTGAGGTTGAGACCCTCCCAGATAGGTCACTCAGAGATTGAAAATTACTGCACAGAGACACGAAAGAAAGTCACCACGGTAGGCTGCACTGCTCACTCACACAGAGTTACCTCACAGATCGAAAGAAAATGCAACTGTTGTTTATATTCCATCACCTCTTCTCATTTCACTGGGAAGAGGCATGAAACTCCCCTATGTTCCACTTCCAAAAACACCGAGCACCCCTTCTGATCACCTTTAACCACTATGGGGGTTGCTGGAAGAAACGAAAAGACTCTTAACTCCAACCCTGTGAAATTCCTATTCTCTGAACAACTTTGCCCACTTTGATCTGCATTTGTATTTTCTCTTCACGTAATGGTCCCACTAAGAATAAACAATGGAAAAACCATCAGGAAGCAAACATGAAAAAATGACCTTTTTATTTTTTTCCTTCATTATTTAGTTTAACTGAAATCCATACTTTAACGGATCACTGTTTGTTTATAACCTCCCTTCTTAAAAATAATGTTAGCTGAAATATTACAGGTAATTATTTGCATACTTTTTTACATCTTAATTGGTTTGGCTTATTACTCACAAACTCACAGTACAAACCTATCAGGAAGCCAAAACTTAAACTGTAACTTCCTT